TGCTTGCATTGAGCACACACAACACGGTGCAGCTGCAGGCCATGCAGAAGCACGTGCTGTCCTGCGTTGGCTTCCTCCCTGGTTTGCGGATGGCTTATCGAAGGCAGCCCCGGCCCTTCGGGAGCTTCTTCTCTGCCAACTCCAAGGATAGATGGGCTGAGAACGTTGACTCCTGCGAGCCTCAGCTGAGCGGGGCCAGGGAAATGAAAGCTCAACTTGGCCTCGGTGCCTCCATCTCCCTGCTCCATCTGCTCCCTCCTTGGAGATGCTCAGCCACTTCCTTCGGCTCACGTTAAAGGGGTGTGCTGCAAGAGAGAATTTTTAGCTAACAAGTGACTTCTGAAGGGCTGGGTATTTGCAGCAGGCATCCCTCGGAGAGCAGGCCTTGGCGGCAGAGCACGAGCGGGCCGTTGTGGCCGGGCTCCCAGCAGAGATCAGCCCGGAGACATTCAACGACCTCGTTCCGCGCAGCTCCGTGCTCATCTTCAGCTGTTCTGGCGGCCGCAGGCCGGGTGCCGAGCGGGACGTTGCCGGCCGCGCCGCCGGGCCCGGCGTCCGCCTGAGGCGCCGCCGCACAAAGGCCACGTTGTTCTCCCGCCGCAGCCCCGCTCGGCCCTGCCCGCAGCGTGGCCTCGGTGGCCGGCGGGCTGCCTCGTCCCACCGAGAGCCACCTCCACAACGAGCCCCTTCCACCCCAACTTCCACTTAGGCTCGCAGCACCTTGACGCTCCACTGAGTCTGAACCTGGTTCACGTCCAGCTCCTACGGCGTGCTGGAGTGGAGCCCAAGCCAGCTCCGAGCTGGATCGAATGCACGTTTCCCTTGAGAGGAGGCTGCAGCGGGACTGGATCGCRCTGCGCTGCTGATAAGGGTGCATGTGTCTTGTGGGGGCTTGCGCTTGTGTGCCGAAGGGTATCGGCACGGTTATCACAYGGAGCATTTCTGAGGTGTGGCAGGGCTAGGAATTAATGATCCCATCCAAAACCCAGGGAAATCAGAAACAAGATTCCCCTTTTCTTTTGCATGGGCTTTGATTTGAGTCTCAGCTTCTCCAGCGTCTGAGGAGCTGTTAACCTAATGTGAACACGATGGCTGATTAAACCCAGCGCATTCCCCACTGAGGAAGGGGGATGTCTGCCGTCAGCATCAGCAGCAATGCAGGAAAGCTCAGAGACACCTGAATACCATGTTAAGCACATTTCCAAAAATGCATTCCTTTAGCTCCTGTACTGTTCAGCGCAGGTTTGGAGGCTCCAGCTCCATGACTGTCGGGGCAGGCTTGGTGCTAAGTGCTGCAGGAAATCAGATTTCTTCTGCGCTGTGATTTCTCACCATTGCTGTCTTCTGGCCTCTCTCTGATATGCGGTAAAAAGAAAACTTGGGGCGATACAAGAGCCTTCCTCTCTGCAGTTCCGCTGTGCTGGCACCGTTCCCTCCTGCTCCCACGTCCTTCTTCCCGCCAGAGAAAATACGAGGGCAGTTGTGAAACCCACTCCTGGGAGGTTATTTCGGTGCAAATCTCTAAGCATCCCTGAAAAACACGGAGCCTGGGYTGGGCCTTGGCCGCTTCCTCATGCTGGAGCCGGGGAGGAAGGCTCCTCGCAGCTCCGCGCCTCCGAGCGCTGGATCTCCACCAGCCTCCCAGGCTGCCGGGAGGGCTGGCTGGGATGCGGAGACAAAAGCGTGCTCTGGAAGTGCGGCTGTTATTCTTACTAATTTTAACTCGATGTTATTACCGAGAACTATTTTTATGCATTGCTTGTGGTGAGTTGTTTCTGCACGGTAGAGCAATTTGCCATGGGAATCTTGTTTGTTGTTTGCCGGGTCTAGTTGAGCGCTATCTGCCCCTGCAACCTGCAATGTGCAGCCGCTTCCCGTCGTCGCGCCGCTCACACCGGATTTGCTTTGATACCCCCCCAGGTGAGCGTGYGTTTTGGGCCAGGGATTGATACTGCTCATTTGCATGCAAATCTCTGGGTTATTAAGATCAGAATCTGGCCCTTTAAATTTAATACCTGCTTTATGCTTTTATTTCCTTGTTTCTTAAAGCAATTTCCAAAAATAACAAACTTCAAACATGATGGGGCCATCAAGCATTTTACTGCCTTGGCTGAAGTCGAAGGAACATTTCTGAAAGTATATTATCCAATTTAACGAGCCTTTCCCATTCTGGCATTTCTCCCACCCCTCACCCCCTTTTGTAGTTGTTTTGGACGGCGCCTTGGAGCGCTGCCATCTAATCCTATTAGAAGGACTTTCATTACACTGCGCGCTGTGTTTATAACCAAGAAAATTAGCTAGAGAGGGGTCTGCTCCTTCTCCCTCTCTCTTTTTCATTTCATATTGTGYTGCGACAGGATCCGAGTGAGTCCCAAAAGGTTCCCGCTAGGCCTCCGCTTTTCTTTTTTCACTTGGGTCRGAATTTATTAAGCCCTACTTCAGGGTAAATTGGGTTCTTGAGAACTTATAATTAATTTGGAAGGGTCAGTTCTTCCCAGGCTGGAGAGGGCTTCTTTGTGTGGTCCCTTTTGAAAGGCAGAGGCTGGAGAGGCTGTTCTGCAACAGGGATTTTCTTTTAATAGGGACCTGGCTATTTTCTGAAACCCCCACGGCTGCTGGAGGCTGTTACGGAGYGGGTCTCAATGGGCTTGCAGAGCTCTTGGTCTGGGTGCAAGCAGTGCAGCTTGGCCGCTGGGCCCCCGTGTTTCCCAGCGAGCTGGTGACACAGCCTGGGCAGGGGGTCACTGGGTCCCCAGGAGACGAGCCGTGCCGCAAAGGTCACCGCACTCTTATTTATAGAGAGATCTGTCAGCGGGTGGCGACACGTGCAGGGCGGACGGCTGGAGGGTCTGACTGCCRGCCGCGGGCGCTGCTGGCTCGAGGTGCCCACGTTGGTCCCTGCTCCATGCTGCTGGTCACACTGCCTGGGYCAGGGGGACGATCCCCACAGGTCACCTCTGGGGAAACGCTTAAGACTGCAGAACCACGTCTTGCAGCGGCTAAAACATAGTGCCATCGAGATACGTGGGGGCATGAGGGTGGAATGAGYCCAGGGTCAGGGAGATCTTTGTCTGGTGACACTTCCCTGGAGAGCCTGGGTCTACTGGGCTGCTCTGCCTGCCCGTTTATGGCTCATCCATGTGGGAACAGGGAGCTTTTTCCTGCATCACAGAGTCRCTCCTTCCTCGTGGTGCCTGGGAAGTTGGGAGCTGCTGTGTGTGCAGGGAGAGCAGCCCACGTGCAGGCGGCAGCTGAGACTCTGAGGGAGGGTGAGGAGCAGTCCTGATCACGGCGCGCTGTCAGAGCTGAGGACTGTCGTGTGGCAGCGACTGAGGATTTAGCGTGGGATTGTGTGAGGAGACAGCAGTTGTTCCTATTTGCAAGAGAACCAAGCAGATCCAAGCAGTCTCCCCCATCTTTGCTTTGCAGTTTTGTTGTCTGTGAAATGGAGCCTCCAGCATTGATGCAACTGGACCTTCATCCTCCTTCTCATGTGAAAAGGCCATCTGTGCCCCAGCAGCTTAAGAGTGCAGGATCACGTGCTTGTTGGACATGGAGATGCTCCCCAGCCCTCACAATCTCACCATTCAGTGTTCTGCAGATCTCCTCCTGCTATGGCTTGATGGCCATCAGTCTGTTTCAGAGTGTTGGCTCTTCCTTTCTCATCCATCCATCCATCCATCCCTCCCTCCCTCCCTCCCTCCTGCAATTCTCTGAGCCCTAAACTCCAAAGAGGAAGCCTTGCTTGGTCAAGGCCTAGCACCTCCTGCTCTGCATTTCTAGTTTGCTTCTCCTTGGAGCTTGCAGGCACATTTGTGTTTACTGCACTGCTTTTCTTGAAAGTGTGCCTTTCCTGTAGAAACAAGCTAAAGAAACCGTGAAAAGAAGAAGGTGGAGGGCAGGGAGCAAAGTGAGTGCTGAATTGATCTTACAGCAATTAAAGTTTCTTTAAAAAGACAGAGAGACAGACAGTAGCTTTCTCCAGAAGCAGATAGAAAGGAGACATGAGGTCATGCTCCTGCCTGGATATCACCCAGCAGAGCCGGGGATGTAATTTAACCTGATGTAGCTTTGTGGGCCTCCGTGAGCTTTCTGAATGCAGTTTAAAGAACATCATAGTAGTGGTGAGACATTAATCAGGGAGAGCTGTCCCTTCCCACGACTGTGGTGGCTTTCCTTTTTTTAACTTCTGAACCATGCCAATCGCTCTTGTTAGGGCTTGGACCTTGTCCTTTTAAGTGTTGCCATTTCTCTGGTTTTCATTTCTTGATGACGTCCAGGTCCCATCRCTTGAATATCGTGAGCTGCTTGCTAGTATGTGTTGTTTATAGCATTGCCATTTAATTAATAAGGCTTGTTAGTTCAGCTCTGGGTACGTCCTGTTACCGGTGGCTTAGGGAAGAGCAAGGCAATGAATAAAATCACACTCAGCATTGTAAGAAAAAGCCTCGTGGCAAATGGGGAAGGGTAAGAAACTGTGGCTTTCCAGGGGGTGGAGAACAATGGTGGATAATTGTGGTGCCTAAAAACACAGCGTCATAACTCACGCTGTTGAGCTCTTCGTAGACAAAAGGTGGGCACAAGTGCTCTGAATCCATGAGTGCTCTTGGCCAGCTCATKTTTAGGAAGAGCATCACTGGAGATGTCGTTATACAGGCTGCAAGGGCAACCAGAACAAGGTGCTGCAGGCCAAGGTCCTTTCCTAGGACACATAGGGACCCCACAGAGGGGAATAAAAGCAAAAAGGCACTAAGCCTCACTATGATTGGGKGTAGTGCTCGCTGCCACCAGCAAGGAACAAAGCATTAACGGGCTTATTTATGAATTCTTTTGTTAATTAAGTGTATAACGGGTCTGCCTTTCTGCTGAGACCACTTCCACAGCTGGAATCTGTCCCTGATTTGCTCTGTGCTCTGTTTTTTCTCTAGTCAGCACATGTTCATTAAACAATCCTGACCTTCGTGTTTCTTCTCTCTCTCTCTCTCTCTCCCTCTTCCCAGCATGGGTTGGTGCCTTGGCCATGGGGATGATCTTTTTCTGCTCTCCCATCGTGAGCATCTTCACAGACCGGATCGGCTGCAGGACAACAGCAGCCATGGGAGCTGCCATTGCTTTCATCGGACTCCTCTGCAGTTCGTTCACCAAGTAAGGCTGCCAGTTGCCGGGCTGGGAGGTCACACTGCCCTTGGCAAGTGGCTCTTTTTGCTTGTTCTCCCCAAATCTCCTGCTGAAAAACACATTGTTGCTGCCTTTTGGTGCAGATCAGGTGTTTTCAATCTAGCTGAGAGGTCTCCTGGCATCACTGCAGCGCATGTACAGCCCTCATGCACACAGCATGTCTCAGTCCAAATTGAGTCTTGAGCTGCTCTTTTGTCCTTGAATAACAAGGGGATTCATTTTACCTGAATGAGGAACTTGGCTTTATGCAGTTTTGGTTTTGGGGAGTTCTTCTGCTCATGTGCTCTTAAGTTTCCACCTCCATCATTTGATCTTGAAGACAGGGAKCAAGAAGTTGCCATGCCACTCGCTGGCTACTGCAAAGAGACACTTGTGGAAAAATTGTTATCTTTTGCRAACAACTTTAACTTTGGTACTGAAAGTAAAATACAATTTGAGGTGATATTTGACTGGTTACACCTGGCCAGAGTTAATGGTGCTCACTCAGGTGCAATGTGCTGAAGGAAGGCCAAAAGTTTCTGYATGCAGGAGCTTGGAAATCAGGAGCGTAGACGGGGGTTGGAGTASTCTCTGCTGTTCCCAGGCTGGGCCTGGCTTCAAAGCCAGCTGTTCCTGACACAACGCAGAATGACTGCTGCTCCGTATTTTCCATGGCTAGTCCCGTCCCCCTACGTTTCCATTGGCAACCTGTCACCAAGGCACATTTTGATGGTAGGTCTACCTGATTTGGTGTGATTGGTAGTTTTTCAGTTTTTCCAGCCCAGCACATTTGCGTCGGTAGGGAAGCAAAAGAGGTGACCCTGGTGTCCTCATCCTATGTGGCTCTCCTTAGATGTAGGCTCAAGAGCTCCATACTTGGGCACTGTGGAGACATCCTCCAAAATATCATTTGCCCAAGCTTGCCTAAATAGAAACATTGCTAGTAGCTGGATTTCAGTTGAAATCAATATTGTTTTAATTAAAATGCTCCCAGAGGTTTTTTTTTTTTTTCAAGCAAACACGCACACTTGTTCCAGAAAGGACGACCCGGCTGTGCCGTGCCCGGAGCCGCCTCCGTGCCAGGCTGGCTGCTGGCGCCGGCGAGGCCGGCCTCCGGCCATGGTTGAGGAGGCCTTCAAACRCTTCATGCTGGGAGAGGAGATGTCTCTGGGGAGTTTTATGTCGTGCWGAAAGCATGGGCCATCAGCTGCTCGGCCGCATGATGGTCGGCCTCCATTGCAGGCTTCTAATGAGAACCAGCTCAGCGCAAGGGGGACTTTTACCCTGAAGACTGGCGCTTGATGAAACCCTCGAGCTTGTCCCAGCCCTTGGGTTCCTGCAGAGATGTGCGTGTGTGCRCTGTTCCCAGAGCAGCAGGAGGGTCCGGCGGGCCAGAGCGTGCCAAGAGCTGTCTCCATGGGGCTGCGGGAGGCCCCGCTGYTACGGTGCGAGGGTGGAGGCTGCTCTGGAGGCTCTGCTATGTGATGTGGCTCCTGGCTGCTCCCCGCCGAGGAGCTCCTGGCAYGGAGGAGCGTGACGCAGGAAGAGCTTTAGCAACCCTGAATGAACACAGCAGTGTCACCAAGCCTCATAATAATTATAAATACCCCCTTGCTCCCCAGTCCCAGGGGCAGGGGACACCCGTGTCCCAGCAAAGTCCCTCACTGACCAAGGACAGAGATGGAGGAGCCATTTCAGCAGAAAGCTCATGTGACTTTGCCCTAGTTTGGGCATGTTGGGAAACTCCAACCCTCTCCTTCAACAGCATGAACAGCTGCCTGGAAGAAAGCAACCTTCTCTCTAACTCCACAAATGATGGCCCTTTGTATTCAGAAAGATAACAGTAATTGGAGAAAGTCTGCTCAATCCTGTGGGAAAGTGCCCCTGAACCCTTGATAGCAAGCAGGATCAAACGCTCGGAGCAATTCCCCACTAATCTTTCTTTCCCTCTAATCAACAAAACTTTGACTCTTTTTTCCCCCTATTGTAAAGTGTTCGTGCGAAGGAGAAGCACTCTAGAGACCACAGCGCTGCCAGTGGATTGTTGTGTTGGGCTTACAAAAAAAAAAAAAAAAAAAGGCACGCAGAGAAAAATATAATTTCCAGGAGAACGTCAGAGCTGAAATCCGTATTTCCTGCTCTCTTACTCCTAGCTGAAACTCCTTTGGCTGCCTTTTAAGGGAGGAATGAAACCCCTTTGCAGCTGTATTGCAGGAAGGGAAGGGAGGATTTTCCACTGAGCTGCCTTGGCCAAAGCTGAGCAGGATCGGAGGACAAGCAGCGGGGCTGCTCTGTCTGCATCAAGGAGCCCAGGCCCCAGATTTAGAGCTAGCGACTCCCACTTGCCCACAGCAACCAGGAGGCCTTTTTAGCTTGTTGTTGCAGACTCTACAGAGCCTCAGATGGAGATCATGTATGCAGAGGAGGCACTGCAGCAAGCCACAGGTTGGCCCAAATGCATGGAACCTGGAGGCATCAAAAAGCCAAGGCTAACTCCGTTGAAGAAGTCCTAAAGATCATGCAGCACATTGACCCTAACCCCAATCCTTCATCGGTCCAAGCTTGAGGTGGCTCTTGTCACCCCTCCTGGCACTACTTGCTCCTTGCCTGGCCAAGCTCGCTCAGGGGACACTTGGTCTCGGCAGCCTATTTCTGTGGCAGCGTGAGCCTCCTACTCCCAAAATGCTGGGCGTTCCATATGGAAAACACTAAATAAACAAGCCATGCCGGAAAACAGAGACCAGCAGGAGAAGCTGGGGATTTCTGGATTTGTTGCAGCTGGGAAGCTGGCACGCAGCTTGGCAGCAAGAGGAGCAAAGTGGCTTATCCTTCCTTTCCAGCCTTTGCTAGGCGCCTTTCAGCGCGCGTTGGTGCACTGCTAACCAGCCAGGGCTGCTGCTGGSCGAGTGAGTGTCCGCTGGGTTCACGCTCCCCTTTCCTGCCAGTTTGGAGTGGGACGTTGTAGTGTGAAGGYGGAGAAGGTCAGAAGTGGAAATGTTGGCTAGTTTGGTAGACTTGTCCATGACGTCTCCCAGACACCCCAAACCCTCCCCTGGCCTCTCTGAGGGCTTTTATGAGTTTTGTGGTGGGGAATAATTAGCTCTTCTTCTGTTTCATCTTCCCTAGCCCTATTTCTCCTTCTTCCCTGGGATGTCACCGTGTATCAGCTGTGTCCTCTGAGCCGTTGAGGGGCTCCTGGAGCAGCTGGTGAGCTCTTCTCGCCTCTGCCAGGACAGAGTAGCCCCAGAGATAGTGAAACACGAGCTCCCACCACAGATCTGGCTGTAGGGGGGTCACAGAGCCCCCCAGACATCTCACCTCCCACTTTGCTTCCCACCACACCAAGTTTCCTACATGGCCCTACAGCAGCAGGGACCTCTCCTCAGCTCTCGTGCTCTGCAGCAGTTACTGCTCCGGCCTCCTTTCATCTCTCCGTGTTAATAACGCACAGGATTTCTCGCCAGGCCAGCTGGCTCTTGCTTCCTGCACCTCCTTCACCCTTGCTCCTCACCACACACTCGGCCTTTCCTTACCGCGTATGAGACTTTGGCACGTGGCTGAACTTCACCATTCCCCCTCGGGGTTCTTGAGCTGCCCTTCCCGTCTTGGTGCCATGCTAARGATGTCCCGCCGTGGGAAAGACCCCAGAGGCTCGGTCGGTGGGGTTGAGCAGGAGCTGCTTCAGGCGAGCTGGGAGCAAGAGGCAGCCGTTGGACGGCGGCCTCATTATCCCCCGGAGACGCCGCCACGCTTCCCATCAGGTCACAGCGAGCAGCTGGCTCATTCCCAACCAACGGGATCGAAAACCCCGGCTAAGATAAAGGACTGAACCAAGCCCCCACTTTTGTGGCATCTTGCAGGAAGGTCTTAATGCCAGCGTGGGGCAGATGGGACCTGTGGCATTTGCCTCTCCTTATCCAAAATGTAAGATTAGCCTCAGTCCTGAAAGCTGGTGTGATTTAACTGGGATCACCGGGACTGGTGCGTGGGTGGTCAGGATCCCTGCAGTGTCCACAGCCCCCAGTAAGTGGGTCAGTGCCTGGCGCCCGTGATGTCCCTGTCCCCTTCGGGGCTCTGCCAGGGACTGCTGTGTGAGCAGCCTGTGCAATCCCACTCCTCACTTCTAGCAGAGCGTTTTTCTGATGGAGCTGAGTCCTGGACTAGCTAGGAATTGCCTTTTGTGGCAGCCCTTCCTCCTCGAGCAGTTTCGTACGATGATCACGTTCGGCTTGCTGCTCAGCTGGCTAAAGAGACGAGCTCGTAATGGAATAAATGATGCTCTCATAAGCATTTTCTCAGCTTCTCTCTTGCTCTGGGGAAGGTGTTTAGTCTTTCATGCAAGCAACTCTGAGTTCTGGAATTAGCAGCATCTTCAGGTCAGTTRATAGCCTAGGTGTTTCCATCGTGCTCTCCTCCCACACAGCGTTTTGGTGGCAAAGCTTGCAGCTGAATGTGTTGTGCAAAGGCAGGCAAAAATCCTTCTTCTGCAGAGAAACCTGCTGGAACTCAAGAGGTTATTTGCACTWTCTAACTTTAGGCTCCTTTCTTAGCTGCTGCTGCTGGGAAAAGCTGGTCAACAGCAGAGAAATGGCTCCTTCCAAAGGGGCTCAAGTGCTTTAACACATGCTCTGCAGAGCAGCCATTTCACTCCCACCTCAAATGCGGTCACTTCTGTAAGGTAAAAATGAAACCTATTAAACATCTAAAGGAAACTGCTGAAGTTGCTCTGAGATGAAGAACATAATTAACCAGTCTGGAATTTGGACGGAAACGCTATATTCTCGTCCTAAGTGCCTAATAATCAGGGAGGTTGATGCCTTCTGCATTTAAACACTGGCTGTAGAGTGTTTCCAATTAGTTGTTTCAGTGGAAAAAAAATGGATTTCTAGCTAAAAATAATACACCCTTCCTGCCTTAGTTGTTAAGCTTTTTTTTACTGTGATTTAAAAACTGCTCGAGTTGGGTAACGTTCCCAAGGAGCATAGCTGGCTGCCGCCTTCTGCACGCCGCACTGCAGAAAGCTCTCCCGGCTAGACTCCATTTTCTCTGAGATTTAACATGCCAGCTGTGAAATGAGGATAATCCTTGCTTTGTCTGGGGAATAAGCTCCTCAAGACCGGGCTGTCTGTGCAGTGCTCATGGCATGCGAGCCCTCGGGCCTGACGCGCGGCTCGGCGGGACTGCATGCGAAAGTSTGTTTGCCCCCCGTGTAACACAGCTCCGTGCCTCTGTTTTCTCTGCTAGGTCCCTCGAAGTCCGTTATTTCACGTACGGGATCCTCTTCGGCTGCGGCAGCTCCTTCGCCTTCCAGCCCTCGTTGGTTATCCTGGGTCATTACTTCAAACGCCGCCTCGGCTTGGCCAACGGCATCGTGGCCGGTGGCAGCTGCCTCTTCTCCGTCTCCCTCCCCTTCTTCTTGAAGACAATTGGGAAGGCCATTGGGCTGGCGCACACTTTCCAAGTACTCAGTGCCTTTATGTTCATCCAGATATTCTTGTCCCTGACCTATCGGCCCATCTTGCCACCTTCTTGTGACTCTCAGCACGATGGGCCAGATAAGGTGGTCAGCCGGAGCGTGCAGCAGCAGTGCTGGTCTCAGATGCGCAAGTATTTCAACCTGAGGGTTTTCCGGAGAAAGACCTATCGGATTTGGGCCTTTGGGATTGCTACTGCTGTGCTGGGATACCTTGTACCCTACCTGCACCTGGTAAGAGCACCGTCAGGGCTGGGAGGGAGGGGGGTGCCTGTGCCCCGAGTGACAGGGCTACTTGTGAGCAGAAAAGAGAGCGTGATGAGCAGGTAGGAAGCTGCAGGAGGACAGGAGGAAAGAACCGGTGGGGACAGAGCAGCCAAAAGCCTTGAAATTAAGACAATGCTCTAGGCATTCTTGTAAACAGGAATAGTGATGGGGGAGATGGCTTTTGAATGTTCATGCAAAGCACCACGCTGATTGCTACCTTCAAACCACCTCTGCATCAAGTGGCTGTTGAGCAATTGCTCTCCACTGCTGGACTCATATGACTCCATGGACAAGGTGGCGGCATTTCTGTCACACTCAACTGCCAGGGAAGGATCAGTAATGAGAGAGAAGAGACAAAGAGTTGTTGGTCTTTGGGATTGCAATGTGTGGATGAGGTGAGCTCATGTCAGCTTGGTGGGAGCATGAGCATCGTAGCCATCCTGAAGAGCAGTGAGTCCTCTGACAGAAGTCCACACACGTGCTCAGCATTTACAAGTGTGTGCTCCTTCCAAAACAATCTTTGCTTAAGGTCATTCCAGCTCATCCATTTGTGGTGTACGAGATGAAGTAGCATAGGGAGGATTAACGGCCTTATTTCTTTTCCTTCATCCTAGATAAAATATGTGGAGAAGGAATTTAAGGAAAACAAAAATGACTGGATTCTCTTGGTTTGCCTTGGAGCCACTTCAGGGCTTGGTCGCTTGGTTTCAGGCCGGATTGGTGACTGCATTCCTGGACTAAAAAAGATTTATTTGCAAGTAAGTTCTTCTTGATCCTTCATGTAGCTCCATGCTAAGTACTGTAGATCAGCTATTTGGGGTACTCATCTTAGGAACTGCTGATGACAGATCTTTTCCTACCACTAGCTAACACCCTCATATCCCGTGGGGGAACAACATGTCTTACAGGAGGACACASAGAGGAACAGAAAGTTACACGCTTGACCTCAAGTCGGAGGTGACAATATCAATTYAGCAATAGCGGCCTCCAGTCCTGACTCTTTCCTTAACTGCTAGACACCCTGTCACCTTCTTTTGGTTTTGATAAACAGGCTGCTGAAATCTAGCAGATAATCCACAAGATAATCTTTCTTAAGGCTTCTTAACAGGTCCTTCTTAAAGGACTTCTCTGAGACAAGAGCAGAGGGTTGATGGCAGTGTTGCTGGGCTTAGAGAACACGGTCATGTTGTTGATCTGTTCAGTATTGCCATCATTTAAAGCATGGTTTTGGTCTTGAACTGCTAAAGCTGCTCTTGTAACTGCCTGGCTCTTTCCCTGGGGAAGAAGAGACCTTAGAAGCCCTTGATCAGGAAAGAGAAACTCAGCAGCATTAAAGCCTTTCTCTAGTTCAGATGAAGAAATGCTAGTCCTGCTGTTAATTGAAATCAAAGAGTTTCTTTGGGTTTGGAATTTGCAATTCCAAGAAGCAGGATGCATAAAGCAAAGTCCTGTGGTCCTGGCAGAGATCCAAAGGGGTGAAAAGATGACCAGGGGCAATGGGTAGTAATGTCCTCCTTCAGATGTCATCTCTGGGACGCAGGCCTCTGTGCTGTGAGATGTTCCCAACTCCAGGGTTGTGCTCAAAGGCTAAGATGTCCTTGAATGATCTCATCTTTGTTCCCACAAACTTCTCAGTTGTTCGAGGTGTGTTCTTGATGGATCTTCTGTTCCTGGATCTTGGAGCATCACCTGTGTAAACAAGCAGCTTTGGCTTTGCAGCTCCTGTTCAAGATGCTTGAGCTTAGTTTAGTGACCGGATGTTTTGAATAAAAATCTGTTCTAATTTAAGCACTATAAAAAATCCACCTCCTACTGATCAAATGTTGGGATTAAATAGTGCTCTTCACTGTGCTTAAGGTCTTCAGTCCTTAGGAACTTTCAAACTTCAGCTTAGGAACTTTTCACAACAGGACAAAAGTGAAGGGCATGAAGGAGAGTGGCAGGGAGGGCCAGGAAGGCATGGCTGGAAGGGGAGCAGGAGAAAGAACCAGACAGCAAATGAGCCACCCAAGTCACAGCAATGCCCAGAGCAGCCACACGTCTCTCCATGATGCCTGGTAGGGGCCTGAGCATCAGCTGAGGACCTGCAGCTACACGGTTGAGGACTTGTTTCTCCTGAAGTATTTGTGCTACCTGCCCAAGAACCTCACCTTCTCCTTTTAAGATGAAACACCCTCAAGTCACTACAAGGAAAGTGCAGAACAGCTTCCTCTTAGTCCTCCTCAATAGTCCTGCAGCCTTTGGAAACCCTGAGCTCCTCCTCCTCTGCAGACCACCTAAAGACCATTTCTGCTTTTGTCTCTCCAGGTTGCGTCCTTTATGCTGTTGGGCCTCATGTGCATGATGATCCCCCAGTGCCGAGGCTTCGAGGGCGTCATCGTTATCTGCCTCTTCCTTGGCCTCTGCGATGGGTTCTTCACCACCATCATGGCCCCCATAGCCTTCGAGCTGGTGGGGCCCATGCAGGCGTCCCAGGCCATAGGGTACCTCATGGGCCTCATGGCCGTGCCCATGACTGCTGGTCCGCCAATAGCAGGTGGGTAGAGCCTTTGGACCCAGCTGTGGGGAGGGAGCAGACGCTAGCAGATGCTTTTGCCTGGGCACATATTTTGGCGAGGGAGCAGCGAGAGAGGCCCAGAAGCAGTATGAGCACAGGAGCTCATTTCCCAGAAAGATAAGCTAAAAATCAGGAGGCAATGATTCATTCCCAAGATGGTATGGAATGGCATGCAAGGAATTTCTTGAGCAGAGGAGCAAATGCAGTGTGGACTGTACAGACAAAAAAAACATACTGAATAGATAGAAGTATTACTTGCAGTAACATGCAAAAAGATTCGTGTTTTTTGGAACTCCTGTATAATGCGAGGCCTGGGGACAGCCCGTTAGCTGATAAATTCAGGCCCTGGATTATTGAATTAGAGGTGGAGACACCTGAGTCATGTGAAGGCTCGTGCTCCTGCTGGAGCGCACCAATAACCCGAACGCCCTTAGAAGCCAGCCCTTTGCAGAAACTGGCCCTCGAACAGCAGAACATCTGCATCGGAGAGAGTGAAGCTAAAAATGTTTGAGCACGTTTGATCTTCCTGCTTCTGGCAGCCGGTGTGGGGCTCGGTGCCAACGTGAGGAGCTCGGTGGCTGCGGCGGCGGCTCCGTTATTCCGCTGCTGCAGAACATTCCGTGTTGGATCCTCCAGCGCGGGAGCCGAGGCAGGGGGCCGGTGCATAGGCTCCGTTCCCAAGCAAGCTTGAGACGCTCACAGAGATTTTCCAGGGCAGGAGCAGTAATGTGTGACTCCCCGCAGACGCCGGGCTGTGTGAGAACTTGCTGAACTCGCCAGCGCGGACTGTTTTGGTTTTCAGGGGCTCTCTTATAGCCTCTAATAAGTAGCATGTGTCTTTCCTATTACGCCCCAAAATGGACAAAGTGTCCATGGGCTCAGGAGCAGCTCGTATCCTCTTCTCCTTAGCACCTGGTGCTTGTCAAAGCTCTCAGAAGTGCCACCCAAAATGTTCAATTGCCTGGCACTATCACAACCTGCTTGCAGGGTTGTTCAAAATACGTCTGATTTTGCTCTGTTTTGGCCACAACACGGGGTCTGCACGTGTCTGTTAGACTGAGGAGCCCAAGGAGCAGTCTGGAATAGAAATAGTTTAAAAACCAAGTCTCCTCAAGCCTGGTTAGCAGAGCTGGAGAGCTGAGGTCCTCCCTTGAGGCAGGAGACAAGCTAGTGGTTAGACTGCCCTTGTTGCTCTTCTCTTTCACGTTGATCTTCTCTTTCAGGATACCTCAAAGACCATTTTGGGAATTACCACATTGCCTTCTACTTTGCTGGAGTTCCCCCCATCATCGGAGGCTTGGTGCTAGCCGTCGTGCCCCTGGTTCATCAGAGGATGCTCAAGAAGCAGCGCCTGGATTCGGGCAAAGACAAGATGCTGGTTTCAGAGACGGTCATGAACGGAGAGCTGCTCCCGGGCTGCCCGGCCTCCGAGGCGCACATCTAAGCACGCCCGGGCCTCCACTCTGACACACGCACACCTAGATACACTATTGCCACCAGCATCTTCTCGACAGCCTAAGCACAGGCCCTTTTCTAAACGGACTGTAATTCTCAATGATTGCAGATGCACTATGTTTGTAAAGGAAAAAAAATCTTCTAGTTAAATGCTCTTAACTAGTAGAAAAGCTTTTTTTCGGGGCAGTTTTGATTTCAAAGCCTCATTTTTTTTCCTCTAACTGTTTTTCTACGGAGAACTCTTACCAAGATTCAACGTTGATCGAGCGCCTCRTCCTTCTCCCAGTTTTCTATGTGTCACGACAGAGGTTTACAGCTGATAACACTGTTTTATAGCCGGCCACAGGCAGGGCAYGTTGAACCTCCCGGGTGTCTGGCTCGCGCCCTCCATGTCCCAGCTGAGCAAGCCCGTCCATTCCCAGCGCAGCTCCAGAGGGGCTGCCGGAGGCGGCCGCTTCCAAGGAGCAAACGCCGCTCCAGCCCGGCACAAAAGCGAATAAAAYCTCAGCAGGTCACACTGTAATCTTTGTCTCCCCGGCTTTTCCGCTGCCCTCCCACGCGTGCCGGCACGCACCGCGAAGCACTGCAGCTGTCAGCACGCTCTTAAGGACGAGCGGGCACTCAGCAGCGCCGGAGCGCCCGCCTTGTCCTGCTCTTCCCGACGTGGATCCCGCTCGTTGCAAGCTGGGAGCTGCAGAGGGATGCGGGCAGCTGAGGGGGTTCATGGTGCCAAGCAGAACTTTGTTCCCCAAATCCCGCTGCCCGCGGATTGTACATAGGATCCCRCATGCCCCTCATGCCCTTTGTGTCTGCGTTGCAGAGCACGGGTGCATCGTGCTGTGCCGTGTTCAGCCTCTTCTTGGCAACGTCTCCCTGGGACTCCAGAGGCTGCTCCTTTATGGCACCATCCACTACATTTCAGCCACCAACACAGCCCCAGGAGGAAATGTTTTATATTGTAGCTCCCGTGGTTAATTGGGGCTGGTTTATTCCATCTGAAATCCATGAAGGGCTTCGAATCATCTCTGTGACTCTAAGGCCATCCTCCGGGGGAGATCAGTGCAGCTGCAGGCAGAGGCACCGTGCCGAGAGCAGGACGTGTCCCAGCAGCTCGTGCGGCCGCGCTTGGCTGCCATCACTGCTCCCAATCCTTAGCTCCAGGCTGTTAAAACCGCACAGTTGCCTTTTTTTTTTTTTTTTTTCCTTTCCGTTTTGTTCTCCTTTCGTTGCGTGCCTGCCGCTGCAGACCGAGGCCCCGTGTTTAACCCCTGCTGCTTGAGGGAGCACGCGTGGCTCCGAAGGCGCCCGGACGGAGCACGTGGTGGCTGTGAAACAGGGCCATCGCAGCGCGCTTCGCCCCGAGCTCCCGGGCCCGTGTGCGTTTGGAAGGCTGTGCCTCTACTGCCACAAATTCTTGACTTAAAGGTCCTAAAATTTCCCCGGGTAGGAGCTGTGGGAAGGCCCATGTCCTGATTGCCACCATAATTAAAAGCTGGAGGGTTCGGCATGTGTGAGTCCCAGATGAGTGCTGGTTTTGCTGAGGAGCGAAGCTTTGTGTACATTTCTTATCGTGGTGTATATGGTGGATTAGTCCCTGGCATGGCTTCAGTTTCTGCATGGCTTCAGTGCCTTTGTTTTCTTTTTATTGCTCCCAGTTGACGAGGTCTTAAATCCCAGGGTCTTTTCAGCAGCATTTCTAGCATCCCCCAGGATGGGGCCGCAAACACCTGGTCCCAAACTTTAATTCTGCTCCCTCAAGGGGGCTTCTAGCAGCCTGACCCCTTCGATTTTTAATGCTGTTGAGCACATTAAATCAAACTGCATCAGGGAGGTGCAAWGCTGAACTCTCGCAGTGTGTCTCATTCCGCCCACGGAGCCCGAGGGGCACCACGTCCGCAGTGGGAATAACCCTGCCTGGGGCTTCGCTGGATTTCGCGGCTCTCACCGCCTGGGAGCGCCCGTGAGAGCTGCGAGCGACCGGGGCCACCGGGCACCCCTGCCTTTCTTCTCTTCTTTTTTTTTAAGTCTGCTTATAACTCAATATGCCCTTAAAATTTTGTATTTGGAAGTTACAAGTCTTTGCGTGTRTGTCTTAAACGTACGCCTGTCCTTTCAGAATGTGAACTTCTGAGTCTCAGTATACAGAAAAAAAAAATCTATAGCACATTTTTGTAAATGTTTCTGAATGTTGTTCAAGAGCCCTGTAGAATAAACCCGGTTGGAAAAGACGGAGGGCGGTGCTGTGTCTGTCCTGGCGCTGCTGTCGCGGCACCTCTTGCTCCCGCTGCTGCGCCGGGCGCTGCGCAGGACGCAGAAGGGTTGGGCCAAGGGCTCGTTCGAAGCCTTCACCGTGGACGAGGCGCAGATTGCTTGGTGCTCAGGACTGGGAAAGGCTGCACGGGAAGAGGAAAGTTTCTGAAAGAAAAACACATCATTTCAGATCGATAGAAAGAGCTGAATTAGAGGAAGACGAAGCAAATCCCAGCAGGATGTTCTTATTGCAACCATAATGCAACAGCCGAGCGGTTGTCCACAGATTTGGCCAGAGCTATTGAAGTTTCCACACACGATGCCCATATCTAAGCACTCCCGAGGCAGGAGGGCTGCGCCAGAAGCCCTGGCCGCAGCCGCCCACCACACCTGTCACAACCTCGGCAGTTCTCAGGGGCAGGATGGGAGCCCCGTGGGGCTCGCGCCCAGCCGCAAGTGCATCATTTTATTATACAATAAAAAGTGTTGCCCTATTAATGCAAATACTTGGTTTACACTAACACCTATAACTTACAATAATGCAAATACTCGGTTTACATTAACACCTATAACTTACAWTAATGTATTTTATAGCTTAGGTGTCAAATATAAGCTTGTATTTACCTATATGATGTGATAAGATACAGTTTATATATACCTCTCTATTCATGGTATAAGTATATACATGGTATATATACATACTATACATATTAGATCTATAGTACAGCATAATTAGATCTATAGTTTACATTCACACCTAAAATTGTAATGCATGTGTATAGTCTATATATTAGATACTAAACATATGCAAATATATATTAGCATACATTGGCTAAAATTACATACATTAGCTATACATGAAAATGAGATATATCTATAATTATATGTAGACCTAGTTATATAGATATGTATGTGATGCAGCTATTAATTCAAGCTATATGTCTAATACAGYTCTACATATTCCTAGAGAGAGAGTATATACCTAGGAGATATCTAGAATATATCTATATTGTATCTACATATAGTGCGTATATACACACTATATAGTATAGAGAAAGCAGATATATCTCTATCTAGTATATTTAATAGATCTGTAGTTTATATTATCTATATATATCTAGATATCTATATATATACCATAGCTATATATATTCTATGCTTATAAAGTTTGCATATATACACATATATCTAAGCAGCTTGTATTTCATATACAAAATATACATTAAAAGGATTCATATAAATAAAATTTACCGTAATAGCCAATCTTAGGCAGCACAACCTCCTGCCTCGGAGCTGAAAGGTGGCTGCTGGTGCTGGACAAAGCATGGAAAACATCCTTCCTCTTCCTGGCCAGCTCCCTGCTTCGCTGGGGGCCATCGTGGCGTGCGAGAGCCAGGGTGCCGCAGCGAGGCCGGGCGCTCCCGAGGGAATCYGGGCCACCGGGAAGCCGCGGCTCCGCCGGAGAGGTGGCCTCTCCTCCGGGAGAGCTCATGAAAGGCACAGCAAGCGTGATGAGCACAGTGTGTTCCCCGCAGTTGCAGCACCAGAACCAGATCACTGGCTCCTAGTAAATGCCACAGTGAAGGACAGCACAGGGATGCTGGCRTCCCGTATTGCCCACTGACAGATGTGCAGATGTCTGGCACAATGAGGAGCAATCAATTCCCRTGGGAACTTAGCTAGACACAAGACCAGTTCCTTCCACCCAGCCCCAAGCTGGGGGCTACCCAGTGAGGTCGGTCCCTATCACATCCCTCACAACAGACTCCAACACATTCCCCCTGTAACAAGAATAAACCCAAGGAGTGATGATCAAGCACAAAACAATCACTTCATGCATTTTATTGAGGCTCTGGAAATTTGCATCATGACATCTTACACAGGGTGTAAACTCCTCCTAAACGTTCGCTAACGAGTCTGCTCAAACTCTTCTTTGTTGACCTCAGAGTAACGTTTGTGCACTAAATGAGTCCAGTATAAACAGAGGTAAAGTGCTGTACAAAAAAAAAAAGGAAGAAAAAGATATCCAAGACAGGGCCTGGGGTACTTAAGGGGCAGATGAGACAATCTAAATAAATTGAATAGTTTGTTCTCCCCATAAGAAAAAAAAAATCCATTTATAAGAGTGCAAAGTTGGAGATCTCTGCCCTGGGGAGCATTCCTGCCAGGAGAGGCCGGGGAGCCGTGGTTACTGTAACGTGTGCGTCTCTGTAACAGGGATGTGCCAGGTACAGCTGTGGCTTAGGGCAGGCGGATGAACCCCCGCCTTGCCATGGCCAGGATCTCCCTGGGAGACTGGGAAAACGCCCCACGGCACCACCAATGGAGCAAGGGGCAGAGCTGGCCAYGTCTCCTTCCCCCTAGCCCTGCGTTGCTGCAGCCCCACGTCGCATCTCGCGGGTGGCCACAGACACCSGCTGCAGATCTACCAGGGTCGGGGTGCTGCAGACCCCGTGTACTCGCCCGGCCCGGCTGCCCAAGGGGACGCGGGGTGACGGTGGCGCTGGGACGCACCCAGCTGCAAGCTGACACCGCGGGCGACTGCGGCTCCCTCCAAACCGGGGTGTTATCGGGCTCGTGCAGCTGCTCCAGGCGCRCGTTAGCGCTGCCTACCGAAAGCCTTCCAGCTCTCAGGGAGCAACTTCAACGCACATGGGAGCTGCACGAGTCAGGTCATCCTGAAAATGCATCTATTAACTGCCGCAAGCCCTTTGCACAGAGAGAAAAACAACCTCAGTAATAAAAAGGTGCATGTAAAAGGGAAGCCGAGTCTCAGGAATTACTCTTTGCAGTCTATTAATGAATTAAGTGCTAAAGGCAGGAAAAAAAAAACAACAAAAAAAAAAACACGTGCTGCGCAGGAAGGGCAGGAGAGGCTCCCACCAGGTGGCACTCCAAAGCTGGCAGTGACTCTGCTCCCAACCACCCGGCCATAGGAAATGACCAAAAAAACACCCCTTTTAACCCTTAAGGCAGCAATAGGCACGAGTCAGGTGGCTGCATCCTGCCCACAAGAGCAATGTCAAACAAGCAGTCTGGGGATGCCATAAGCACAAGTGCCTGGTACCAAAATGATTCCCACACAGTACACCAGGCTAACTGCAACCTTGCTAAAATTCAGTCCACTCTGTTAGCCACTGAGGTGTCGACACTGGCTTTTCYCAGCTCCAACATAATGTTAAAAGCAGCAAAGTTACCTCAGGAGATCAGGGCACAACAYAGCCCAATGGAGCCTCCAGGAGCACCCAAAACCGTCCCACCAGCCGAGGGCATCTTCACTGAGGTCAAATTATGGGTTCTTGGTACCATTTGGGAAACCGCCAACATTTTATTTAGTCTTTGCTATCGTTACATAAAGATAAAATGTTAAGGCATGCCACTATTAAGCTATAACAAAACCGTAAAGTTGATTCTACTGAAGTGTACAGTTATTGGAAACTTAGAACATGAGAAGGTTATGCCGGATGCCGCGTATCCCAGCCGTGCTTCACATCAATTAGCACTAGCRGGCTCCTTTCTTTCTGGTCACCATCCTTAGTCCTCGGAGATGCAGCTCCGAGTCCCAAAATCTACAACACAGCCACAGAGAAAGGCAATTTTTGGTTTTTCCCTTGTACTTCTACTTTGCAGTAAGGCAGTGGAGCCCCTGGGAGCTGCAGCCGAGAGCACGGATTTGCTCTGCATACACAGCTGGAAGAAACTCAGAAGTGTCATTCTGCTGAGGAAATTTTGGCATAGAAGTACATTGTCTACATTCATCATAGGCCAGCACCTGACATTAATAGCTAA